TAAGTCCGGCGCCCGCGGTTGCGCAGGGGCAAAGAGCCATCAAAATGTGCAACCAGTGCCTGGTGCAGAGAGCCGCCAGACAGGGAGGGGACAGTCACCACGCCTCGCCACAGCAGACGTGTGTCCTTTGCTCCCAGGGAGACAGTGACACCCAACGCATGGTGCCCTGTCCCACCCCTCCCATCACCCTTGCCCAAAGGAGCTCTGGGGCTAGGCTGTTGAGGAGCTGGGCACGTCTGTTGACAACGCATCGCCTTGGACGTGCCTTTTTTTCCTCTGTCCACTTCCTGGGGCTCACCGCTAACCCAGCACCACAGTAGCACGTCCGAGTGACGGTACGTGCACGGTGACGCTACAGCCACGCGTCTGTGCTCGTCTCCTTCACCTCACAGCCTTACTCACACAGCATGAAGGCTATCTCTCAGCAAAAAAGCAGCAAATAGTCCTGTGACCCCCCAACGTGCTAACATCCGGCAAAAATTAACGCAATTGTCTCTTTAGGCAGAGAGGTGAGCGGTCTGTTCTCATGGCGTCATGCGCGTGGATTCAAAACCCGGGTGCCCCAGCCTCACCTGCAGCTCTGGGGCTTGCCGTCCTCCAAGCCCACAGCACCAGAAAGTCACGCAGCCCACATCTACATCAAGTAAAATCAGCTTGTTTGTTGTTCTTAATCCACTAGGAAGGCTTCCACAAGATGTCAGCCTAACTAAATGACAACGCTAGCCTCAGGGTGCAATTCTACTTTTCCAGCGCGCGCGTTTAGCGGGAAAACCAGTTCGTTTGGTGCTGGAGGAGCGGGGTAAGGGAGAAGCCCCTGAGAGGGTCATTTGGTCCTAGCAAGCTTACTCCGGAGGCAGATATGCCATTTTCCCTCTCCATGTTGCACGTGATGATTTAGGCCATTACTTGGAAGTGCCCTTTCTGGCAGAAGTTCCCAGATGGCACTCGTACGTGGTTTTCCTCAGCATGCAAGCGAGCTTTCAGTCTCAGCAGAAACGCAATCGCGTGAGTTTTGCAGGCAGCTGGAGTTTATTCCCAGCCTATTACACCTCGACACCCCAGGCAGCTCCCAAGGAACAATGTGAATATAAAGAGAATCAGATGCATGCTTTCTGTATTATTTGTTATTTCATGACAAGTGCACACAAAAACACGTTTCCTAAGAAAAGCGCCCGTAAAGTTCGCGTTAACAGTTTCCCAAACAGGAAACTTGCTGGCAAGGTGCTAAATAGCCCTTGTTTGGTTAGGGGCCAAAGAACGGAGAGTTTTAGAAAGGAAGCAACTTACCGTGTTTGAACATTAACTCTTAACTCTGTGCCAAATTACACAATCTTAATGTGGGAGGAACCTACCAACAGATACTGATGCAAAAAAGCAAAACGTTTCCAAAAGACACCTAAATTCAGCTGCCTGGTAATAGCGGAAACAGGTAGCACAGGAGAGGAGTAACATTTGACCTTACAGCTCTTGTCATTTTATTAATTACAGCCTTTGGAAAGTTGTTTGTAAATGTTGTGTTATCGAATTTGAATGTTATTTAAATTCAAATCAACCCTTCAAATCAGGATTTTGCACCAGAGGAGCTGTGATGGGAAGCACGAGCACAGGTACTTCAGCTCCACCAGACAGCTGGCAACTGACAGCTAGGGCTGGATTTCAGCTTCTCTCCTTCTCCTACAGTGAACATTAAATGTAAAGAAACTCTTTAAATAGGTTTATGGCATTTATTTGCATGTATTTATTTCACTCTAGAGCAAATGTGAAGATATTTACTGAGGCAGACCAATTTAAGAAATGTATCTAGCATTTCCTGATTTGCGTTATCGTTAGTTACTTTCCTGATGGGTTGGGGGTGGGTTTTTTTGTTTTGCTTTGGGTTTTGGATGGGTTTGAGGGTTTCTTTTTGTTTGTTTTTAAAGAGTTCACCTTCTCCATCCCTTTACTTAGCACGTCCCTTCAGTCTGCTCTGGATAGGACAGCCTGCCACAGAAAAGTACCAGCGCAGTCAGCGTTACAGTCGTGACACAGGACAGAGAAGGGAGAAGCAGGCAGAAAACAGCAAGTCTTAATACCTGTAAGGAACCAAAGCTTCACAACAAAGATACTTTCTTTTAGAATCTTCTTTTGACACAATTGTTCATCTTCCTCCATCAGCACGGGAAGTTTGTTATTCGCAGCTCATCCCATATCTTGAGGTTGTGATACTTCGCTGCTACAGAGCAAACATTTTCAAGTGCCTTCTACTACATTATTGCTTTATCTCTCAAGGTGAAAATAAAAAAGCTTATTCAAGTTCCTTGGAGTGGGAAGCTAACACTCCTCTGCCTCATCCACATCGAGTCAAGGCCAGAGCAGCTGCTCCGAAGGCTTTCCTGCACATGCACACAAAAATCCTAAAACCATAAAAAATGAACAGACTTGATTTACATTTACCTTTCAGCACCAGCTGTCCTGGAGGAGAGTTTGCTCCAGTTAAAAGGGCAATGAACTTCTAAAACAAGCAGCCATGACAGCACATTTGCCGCCTCCACGCTGTGCGGGCACGCTCTGGCCAGAGACCGGCTCGGCTGTGACAGCACAGACGGCTTTGCAGGGTCACCGTTTCTGCAAATGCAGGTTTCTGAAACTCTAAAACACACGAGATAAAGGGACCTACCCCATAGTGAGATGCTAATGGGAGTAATGTCCCCCCTTTCACGGGGGGCTTATGACACCAGAACACAATCGGTGACTGCAAGGGACCCCTCAAACTGCCTTGAGCCCCGACGGTGAATGCCAACGTCACGACTTCTTCTCCTGCACTCCAGTTCCCAGGAAAAAGCAAGCACAAAAGCCACCGTTTGGGGGGGAAAAAATAGATTTTCTAGTTTCATAACTGCATGCTGTCAAGCTCGATTCCAATTAAATTTTCCCTGTGCCCTAACGCAAGCTTTGCTTTTTCCAGAAATTTCTCATGGCTTGAAACGTTAGCTCCTGTCCTTTGCTCCCGCACTGCGTGCTGTACTTTCTGACACACCACTTCATCTAAACGACTGTTCTCTCCCGTTACCACTTTCACAGGGACCACAGTCGCACACAGTTGTTACGTGTAGCTTTAAGCTGCCAAAACCCTCTCACCTCTGCGAAAAGCTGGTGCTAACCAGCATCCTCTGTTCAAACTGCGTGTACTTTGCATCTAAAAGTTCCTTTTATGCAGCGATATTTAACAGAAACCAGGCAGCAGCTAGCACTAAGGCACTTCCAACCGCAGCTCTGCGCTGGTTTTAACTCCAGCTGAATACAGCCAGCACAGATGTGGGGGGGGGAAGCGGAGTGGTGCAAGTCTTTCCTATTCCTTCTATCATGGGGACGAAGGACTCCTACCGTTGATTTTTTTTTTCCCTCCCCTCTCTATCAGTGGTCTTTAACATGATCACAGTATGCACCACAATGCTTTAAAACAGCAAAGCTTCTGGAAAACCCAAACAAAAGGAACGTCACCAGGTGACGTCAGCCTATATACAGCCCTGTGTGGTCGCAGCGCATAAGCAAATCCATTCTTGTACCGCTTCCCTGAAAAGCTTTTCAGTAAATGCACTCATGCTACTACAGGAGCTTCTCTCAGCAATAAGCCGCCCATCTGCCATCAACAAGTTAGGACTAAAGGAAGCCACAGCTGCGGAAAAAGAAAACGTGAGCTTCAATTAAACAGCTGAGCAGCCACAGAGGACGAAAACTTGTATTAAGCATTGATTTAAAAATTGCAGACCTGTCAGAGGAGATCAAGCCAGTGATTTCAAAAGGAATATTCCAAGAGAGCATCGTGGATTCAATTTTGCACTAATATCAAAGGACACTAAACCCAGTAAATTATTCAAAGGCTATCTTACGTTAGAGCCTTTTACAGACTCACCGCGTTGAGTCTAAAACTACGACTGAATGCAACCTCCAATGTACTCAAAAGAATGGGTAAGTTCCTGCATTTCTATATACCTTGTATAATGAATGACCGGCTGTGCTTTAAAGGAGCAGTTAGGTGCTAAAGCAAATTTTTCTGCACTGAACCTTATGAAAAAAAAAAAAGCCAAACCAGAAATGTTTTCTGATTGTGACCCTGTAATTCTCCGTAATAGAGATAAAGACTCATCCTAAGTGTAATATCCAAGTATTGTGTGTTTCGTAGTAAGTTGTTTCTTGCATTTAGAATTAGCTTGTCGGAAATGCATGGCAATGTTATCTGCAGTGAAATCTTCCATCGTGATGTTCAAAGTGTACTGATGAGGCTATCCTATCTTGTTGTTTTCCTAAATTATATTCTGCAGGCTTACATTTCAAGTGGCCATTAGGGGCTCGTATGCTGGCAGCACTATATGCAATGAGTATGGTTTTAAAAATGCTGCCTGCCTTGGGCATGGCTTGTCCACCAAAATGTCGCTGTGAGAAGCTGCTCTTTTACTGTGACTCTCAGGGGTTTCACTCAGTGCCAAACACCACTGAAAAGGGCTCGCTAGGTTTGTCACTGAGGCACAATTATATTTCTGAACTTGAAAGGGATCAATTTGCAAGCTTCAGTCAACTTACTTGGCTTCACTTAGATCATAATCAAATTGCAACAGTCAGAGAAGATTCTTTTCAAGGACTGTATAAACTTAAGGAATTAGTCTTAAGTTCCAACAAAATCTTTCATTTGCCAAACACAACTTTTAGCCAGCTGCTTAACCTGCAGAATTTGGACCTCTCTTTTAATCAGTTATCCTCTCTGCACCCCGAGCTCTTCTACGGCCTTCGCAAGCTACAGACCTTGCACTTGCGTTCCAACTCCCTGCGGACCATCCCGGTCCGCCTGTTCTGGGACTGTCGTAGCCTGGAGTTCCTGGATTTGAGCACAAACCGCTTGCGAAGTTTGGCTCGCAACGGATTTGCGGGATTAATCAAGCTGAGGGAGCTTCACCTAGAGCACAACCAGCTGACAAAGATTAATTTTGCTCACTTCCTCCGGCTGAGCAGCCTGCACACACTCTTCTTGCAGTGGAACAAAATTAGCAACTTGACATGTGGGATGGAGTGGACCTGGGGCACCTTAGAAAAGCTCGATTTGACTGGAAACGAAATCAAAGCCATCGACCTCACCGTCTTTGAAACTATGCCTAACCTTAAAACCCTCCTAATGGATAACAACAAGCTCACCGTTCTGGATTCCAAGATCCTAAGTTCGCTGACATCCCTCACCACCGTGGGCCTCTCCGGCAATCTATGGGAATGCAGCCCAAAGATCTGCGCCTTGGCCACATGGCTGAGTGGCTTCCAAGGTCGGTGGGAGCCCTCCATCCTCTGCCACAGCCCCGACCACACCCAGGGAGAGGATATTCTGGATGCAGTCTATGGTTTTCAGCTTTGCTGGAATTTATCAACTGTTGTTACGCCCGTGGCTACGACGTACGCAGTTCCGACTACCGAGTACACGAAAAGAATAAGCTCTTCTCATTTCCATATGGGAGACAAAGAGATTCCAACTACAGCAGGCATGGTCGTTACCACCGAAGAACATTTCCCCGAGCCAAACAATGCCATCTTCACTCAGAGGGTAATTACAGGAACAATGGCTTTATTGTTTTCTTTCTTTTTTATCATTTTTATAGTGTTCATCTCCAGGAAGTGCTGCCCTCCCACATTAAGAAGAATTAGGCAGTGCTCAATGATTCAAAACCACAGGCAGCTCCGATCCCAAACACGGCTGCATATGGCAAATATGTCAGACCAAGGACCCTATAACGAATACGAACCCACCCACGAAGGACCCTTCATCATCATCAATGGCTACGGACAGTGCAAGTGTCAGCAGCTGCCGTATAAAGAATGTGAAGTATAATACCTACATGCCATCAAAAATTAAATCAGATAAGTAACCTATTTTAAAATTGTAGGGGACCTACATCAGATTCTAATTTTTACAAATGTTGACATAAAGCCTAATTTTCCAAGCTACTTAATGGAAACATTGTTTATGGAGTGGTGCAGTATTTTTTATTTTTAAGTTTTTTAAAAAATAAATCCATAATATTTTCAGTGTTAAAGAAGCAATGATTACATTAAACTTGCACTCCTAATGTTTAAAAGTCTAAAGAGATGCTCACCTCAAACTATGTAAAATGTTTCATGTTATGTAATTATATGACTGTGTGTAAACATTTATACCCAAGGCTCCATATTCTACTTTTTCTAATGAAAACAGTCCGAGGGGAAGGCTACTGGATATCTGCACAGAGATCTGCGGGGGGGACATACGCTCCGTTTGTTCCACTGCAGCTGTAGGATCCCA